TGATGATACGGCTCCATGGTTAATTAAGATGGGGTTTTTTTTTGCCCCTATGGTTAATTAAGATGTTTATTTTTGCCCCTCTAGGGAAACAAATATATGACCTTACAGAGGATTTAAACCTAAACACCCCAACTTTCTAACCGTTCGAGCTCCAAATGGAAATATTTTTGGTGAACATTTTGGTTTCTCTGGGTAAATATTGGACATTACAGCATTCAGGGCAGGTCCATATTAGCTCCGTCTCCTTCCTCAACAGCTAGCGAAGAATCTCTGTACTAGTGGCACCGGTTGTTTGTCATCTGGTTAACTACTCGTCTTGCATTTAACTCGAGTGGCACCCATAGACCGCAGACGCCCTCCGCTATATATCCAGGTATGAGTTCCAACATATTCTATCTACTTTTTCCTCGTCGCATAGCTGGGAGATTGCCTCTGCCTTGTGCAGTTGCAGTACATCCCCGGGGGGGAGATTGCCTCTGCCTTGTGCAGTTGCAGTATATCCCCGGGGGAGATTGCCTCTGCCTTGTGCAGTTGCAGTATATCCCCGGGGGGAGATTGCCTCTGCCTTGTGCAGTTGCAGTACATCCCCGGGGGGAGATTGCCTCTGCCTTGTGCAGTTGCAGTACATCCCCGGGGGAAGATTGCCTCTGCCTTGTGCAGTTGCAGTACATCCCCGGGGGGAGAATTCCTCTGCCTTGTGCAGTTGCAGTACATCCCCGGGGGGAGATTGCCTCTGCCTTGTGCAGTTGCAGTACATCCCCAAGTGTGGCCGGCCCAGTACAAACATATAAATATATAGGCACATGGATATTATCTGATGGAAAATGTAACACAGAGATAAAGAATAGAATAGAATTTTACAAAATGAAGAACTTGTATTACAACAAATCCATGCCATCGGTCAAAATGGACGTTAGGCAGCGGCACTGTTCGAAACAGAGGCAAATTTTTTGCTTCTGCCGGACGGTGGCCGATGCATTTTTGCTCCATTTGTAGACTGGATATAGTTTCGTCGCCCAGCTTCTGAGTTGAATGCATGGCGTGACGCTGTGAGCTGCGGATTGCATTTGGAATGTTTTTTCGACTGTGACCAACGTGTTGGTGTGTATTGTAGATTCAGAAAATGGCGCGATTCCTGTCGTGCAGTGTTATGGTGCCCGTATGTGATTAAAATTGATCGCGTGGGCAACTGCTGATCTGTTGGCGACTTCTGCTACTATCAATGATGAACTGCAATTCTAATACTGTGATAAACATTCTGTGTGTTTTTCTTTGGCACAGGAGCGCAGCAAAGATGGGGTGACCCGTTTGCTATTAAGCTGAAACTAAGACTACCAGACTACCAGACTATCAGACTATCAGACTACCAGACTACCAGACTACCAGACTACCAGACTACCATGACAATAGAGGTTACGAAAAGAATTGTCGCATTCTATATTAGAGCTAGTTTTAACATACAGCTGTGAATCCTGGACAATAAAAAACTAGAAAAACAATATTTTGAGGCCTCTGATTTGTGGTTTTACAGAAAAACCAAAAGAATTCATTGGATAGCTGAGAAGAGCAACCCAGATGTTTGAAAGAGGCGAATGCTCGAAAACAACCTATCACAAATATCAGAAAGAGACTGTCCTAATTTTTTTGGTCATGTTATGAGAAGGGGGGAAATGTAACCTGTTATGACCACTGGAACTATCTGTGGAAAATGAGACAGAGGAAGACAACGTGAGAAGATTCTTTACAGTATTTTCTTTTATGGCATAACGGTGTCAGCACACGAACTGATACAGGCAGTTTCAGATAGCAGATTGTTGAGAGGCATTATCGCCTACTTCAGTCGGTAAGGAACTTGATGATGATGTGACGCCTGATTTCACCGATAGTGTCAACGGATTCAAGCAGGAGAGCGTACTGTAAGGGATACTAGCCTTTTCCCTAGAAAGAGTACACGCACCCTGAATCAAAATGTAATGTTATGGCAGGCAGGCAGACTTGGCTGGCAACTGGTCAAGGACTAGGAAGCTTCTACAGAGGGACAGACATAGCACCGCTCTTCTGACCCGGCAGCTTATACAGATTGTTTTGTTCCAAACACAGTGGTGTTATCTTTTCTTTGAATTAAACACATCAGGTAGAGAGAGAGAGAGAGAGAGAGAGAGAGAGAGAGAGAGAGAGAGAGAGAGAGAGAGAGAGAAGGAGAGAGAGAGAGAAAAGAGAGAAAGATAGGGGGAGAGAGGGGGGAGAGAGGTAATATGCTACATTGTTATGAGGAGGAAATTTGCTTTCACCATGGAATGTGATTTCCATGGTTTCATTTAGCACAATATAACACTGACGTCTTGAAAGTCGGGAATGTGCCCAACAGATGTAACAAACAATAAAAGAATTAAATAATTAACATTGTTTTGTCTCCACAATGGAAACTGTATGAAGTGGATAATATATCCCCCCCTTTTCCCCCCGCAATGACTTTGAAAATATTACATGATTACGTCCTGATCTCTGTCACGATATTACTATCGTTCTACTGTCCTTCGTCTTCTTCTTCTTTTTCTTCTTCTTCTTCTTCTTCTTCTTCTTCTTCTTCTTCTTCTTCTTCTTCTTCTTCTTCTTCTTCTTCTTCTTCTTCTTCTTCTTCTTCTTCTTCTTCTTCTTCTTCTTCTTCTTCTTTTTTCTTCTTCTTCGTCATCTTCTTCTGTACCGTTGATCAGAATGTCGCAGCTGCGGTGTACCTATTTATTTATAACCTAGTTGTGATATGTACTTTTTTTTAGGCTGACACATCCGACTTCATGGGACAGTCGGTTGTCCAAGTAAGACTTCTTGGTTGTTTTTGTAGGACACGGCACAACTTCACTGATCTGTCGCCATCATTGCCATCTGGTCTATAGGTTTACGATTGTCCGAAAGCTGTGAAAATGATATTGACAAGAAATATCTCGCCTGAAAGCAAAGTTCGCAATAAATACCCTGTAAAGTGCAAAATACTGAACAATAAAAGCAGAAATGTCACGTAGATGAAACTAGAAACATAAACATACACAAAATAGAAACAGTTATAATGTTATACACATTTTGAAAAATTGCTTGCAAACTGCGGTCCATCTAAGCTGAGTCATCATCATCATGTAGCAGGTCCTTTGCAGAACGTCGCTCTCATCACAGTCTGCCTGAAAGAAACTCAGTCTCTCGCCAGTTCTCCCGCCTCATGCACTTTCACACTCAAGGAGTCACTTATATCCTGTGCCCATCTTCGTGTCGGTCGGCCCCTGCCCCTCCTTCCTGGTACCATACCTTCTGCTATATTTTTTCTAGTCCGTTGATATGACCAAAATATTTCAGCTTTCGAGAAAGGATGCATCTGAGCTGAGTAAGAAACCAAAATAAGAGCACTCTGTGCCTTCCTGTCAGTGCTTCGTCCTCATCTTCAGTAGAAACGCCGTTTCAGTTCCGTTGGTACCAGTATCAGTCTGACAGTATATCTGTCTTGTCTTTCCTTTAAGATTTGAGTCGGCCAGATTCCCTAGTCTCTTCTTGATAACCCGTCATATTTTTCTTTGTTCACCGTCTCTAAGCTCCAGCGGAAACTCCTGGTTGTTCGTCCATTTGGACATTGGCTTTGTGCCAGGGCCTGAGTTTGGCGTCTACATCCCTTTTACGGACTTATTTGTGTACAGTTAGTTTTTCCTTGCGGCTGGGCCAGATGAACTCCGACTTCGAAGGATGTCCCCAATTAGTCCACTCTTACGACATGCTTATTGGGGACACAGTGGGTCTATTCTTGTTTTCCCCCACAATGGGGCACCGGAACCCCCCCCCCTCCCCCCCCCCAAATTAACTGTGATGACTTTAGCGCCTACGCATACTGCTCACTCGCTCCCTACATTCCTTGGCCCCATCTCGCCAAGCATCCATTTACCACCAAGTTGTTTTTGCTCAAGTTGCCAAAACACCCAAAACGCCATTTAAAAAAAAAAATAGCCTAAACTTCAAACCAAAACCAAATTTGTATCTTTTGCATATCAGAAAAAGATATGAAAAGAATGAAAAGTATATCAGCGAGCTTTACAATATAACAAAACAAACAGTGAACGTTGCGGTTATGGACATACATTCGACAATATTGCACAAACACACAATATCACTTTTTTCGAATCTGGAGGCAGCCAGGTCGATATCTAGCCAGTAGAGCCTAATAGATCTTTTGCATATAATGACATTAGGCTGTTGCAGTCGCAATAGATGTTGACATTACAAATCATATTCAACAGTGTGTTGCATGATGTTTGTTTATTGAAATCTGAAAGTGCGGGTAAGATTTAGACATTATAATTTTAAATATTGTTCTATAAAAATTTTGAAGTAAAGTATAATTATAAAATATATGAACGTTTTTTTTTTAATATTGTTTTATTGATTTATATTAGTATAATAAAAATGTTTTTGAAGAAAACTTTTTAAAAATGAAGTACAACCAATTTGTAGACAGAATAAAACAAAACATATGTTTTAATAGTTTTTTGCAACACTTATTGGCTTTTAATTCTTCATTTTCTGTCCTTGTTTTCTTGTTGTTGTTGTTGTTATTGTTGTTGTTGTTGTTGTTGTTGTTGTTCTTCTTCTTCTTCTTCTTCTTCTTCTTCTTCTTCTTCTTCTTCTTCTTCTTCTTCTTCTTCTTCTTCTTCTTCTTCTTCTTCCCCTTCTTAACCATACTTCAGATCCCACTAACAGAGCATTAACCTTCGCCTAAATCAATAAAAGCACGTAATCAATACAGGCCTTTTTTTTAAATGCATGAAAAACATGCATAAACTGAATTATCATACACAAGAAGAATACATGTCAACAAAATATATGTACTGAAAGATCAAAATAATGGCCACGAATTGAGGATAAACAGCCTTGGTGCAGACAAATAAGTCTGACGTTAACTAGCACTGGCCAGCCAGAAGTTTATAAAACATCAATGGGCAATAATGAAATGAAAAGAAACAAAACTAAGCTAAAACCGCCCAGACAGGACACTGTCCGAGCGCCGTTTGCTTCCCTTGTTCGTTTGTCAGCTTGGAATAAATACCAGTCTCGTTTACATAAACCTTCCAAATCCTCATGAAAGGTTCGCCTTCTTTTGTGTTATTAGGAAGACCTTTCGCCCAAAACAGCGGAAGTCGGTCAGAGGTAAACCAGAGCCAACCTTTGTTATCAAAAGCGAAAGTATCTGGCCACTGCATGGCGCTGTCGTTTCTAACCAATAATGTCTGCGTTTGTAAAGAGACTTTGTCCATTCCAACCTTCTGTTTCATCATGTCTTGTTTAAGGTCCCAGAAGTACACAGCATTAAGGCCCAGTGCACCATAGTAAAGATTGTTGTTTCCATAAGCTAACGCGGCAGTTTGTGACACTTTCGTTCCCACTCGTCTGATACCTGTATCTTTGGCAGACGACATATTTCGCAAGGTCGACGTGGGGATCTGGTATAGACTATAAGAAGAAACAGCGCAGTAATAGACATAGTTAAAATCTGGAGATATCGCTATTCCGTTTATTGCTGAAAGGATATAGTCGTATTCTTCACCATTGAATGTGATTACTGAAGCATTTCTTTCAATGTCCATTGATGGATCTTTCAAATAAAATGCAGATTTTGTTTCGAAGTCATAAATAATCAGTCGGCTGTCGTAAGCGTCGCTCATGTACGCATACCTCACCGAACCGTTTATATAATCTAACACGATATCATTGAGAAAGTTCTTGGTCCTGTTTACCACACTGTCTGGCAATTCGTGCATTTCTAAAAGTGTGTCACTTTTTAAATCAAAAATGTAAATTTTCGCTGGACATAAATTTAAAATATTTCCCACGCGTCCTGTATCGATGACGTACATCCGGTCAGTATTTGGGTCAATCTCCATGCTCATGACAAACTGAAAAGACTTGCAGTCCGCCTGTTTCTGGAATGCCCAGCTGGGGTATGGTCGCAGCTTCGTTTCATTGTTGACCGTGACAATTTTAGCTAGGGTCACTGGATGACCGGTGGTCCAAAACCACCGAGGTATGGTCACGTAAACATCGTCCTTGTGCACCTGTGGTCAATGAAAGGTAATAAATAATGCTTGAATAACTATAATAATATAACATATACAGGTTTTTGTGTTAAATCAGTACTGCTGTATGGAATGAACATAGAGCTTAAGTGAATCTTTTACTGAAACGCCTCGTTAACATAAGTTAAGCCCAGCTCTCTAGCGTTGTTGGCTAAACCGGATTGCGCGGTGACCGGGTGACGAAATCCTTGTGGTCCGGGTACCACATTTCTCCCAGATTTACGGTATTTACAGTGGAATCAAGGCCGAAAGGTTGCGATATCCATAATACCGAGCCTAAGGGTTAACAACTCATGACTTCTGGATACTAAAACAAACAAACAAACAACATAAGTTAACTACGAGTAGTCTGACTACAGAGGTAATGGCCGTTACAAAAGCAACCTTGTAGATAGAGACACCAACATTTGCCCATTCGTGCTTTTTTTAAGAAGATCGAGACAGCGTGGATTCGAAGAAAATGGTTGAAGTCGCTGAGGAAATCACACCTGATAGGAATCAATTTCATTTTTGTGCCAGTGCATTCTGGGGTAGGAGGGAATGAACGAGCGGATTGGCTGGCTGACAGGACCACGGTAGGTATAGGACAAGCTATGAACTGGGCCAATATTCTCAATGCTCTCAAAGAGACAGGACGACATGATAGTTCGGGAGACAACGTGATTCGGCAACATTGAAAAGACTACAAGAATTTCACGTCACAAGACATGAACACTATAAAGGTAATTACAGAAGTCCACTGTGCGTGGAGTCACCTTTATTGTTGTTCCTGGACACGCAGGCGTCGATGGAAATGAAAGAGCTGACAGGTTGGCTGGATCCGCTATCACTACCGACGGTCAGCCTATGGATCATGCTGATATTATCAATGCCCTCAGAGAAATGGGAAGGATAGAGGACTTTGGTGGCAGTGAATCCACATCACTCGCCAGAATGGCAGACTTGGGAATTAGGATCGGCACAGCAAAAAACGAGACGCTCACCAGACACGCCAGAAGACTTGTTAATCAACAAAGAACTGGTACTTTTAGCCATCGGTCGTTGGGGTTCATACTGAGGGGAGGATCTGAGCACCTATGGACATGTCCGGAGTGCAATGAGGATAACCCAACTAACTAACTAACTAACTAACTAACTAACTATAAAGGTAGCCAGAGAAGTATAGTAAACCAACACAGAACTGATGTTATCAATTGCCACATGCTTAGGGACATACTGAAGATGGGATCCGGACACTTATGAACTTGTCCGACATTCATTGAGGATAATCTGTTGATTAACCAACTAACTCCCCGTGTGGGTTCCGGGGCCCCATTGTGAGGAAAACAAGAATAGACTCACTGCCTGCCCAACAAGCAGCATGTCGTAGGAGTCAACTAAATGGGGTCATCCTTCGAAGTTGGAGTACATCTGCCTGAGAGGCAAAGAACCACAAGTTTGCATACAATTAAGCCAGATCTGTGGAACGGATGTGCATGTATGATTTTCTACAATGGAGATTGTCTACTATAAGCCAGAAAGAGACTCATCATTGTAAAGAAAACGTTTAATAAAATAATTAGGCTTACAGCCAAACATCAAGCATAAATATGAATGCAAAGAGACAGATTATTAACAGCATATTCATTCCAACATTAAGCTACCAGTGCCAAACATGGACACTATCTAAAGCCCATTTACGCAAAATCACCACCTGCGAGATGAGGTGCCTGAGAAAAGCAGCCAACCTAACCATACGAGATCGAGTGAATAATGAAACTATCAGGCAACTTGTGGGAACGACACCTTGTACTAGATTCATCGAGAAGCAGCAGATCAAGTGGTTTGGTCATCTCGTTAGAATGCAGCAAGATCAAATACCATCACAAGCTTTACATCTCAGAAGATCAGCTACAAGAGCAAGAGGACGGCCGCGGGAAACATGGATCGACAACATTAAAGACACTCTACGCCTTCACGGCATGACAATAGCCAGTGGCAGCCAACGTGCACTGGATCGCAAATTATTCCTCCCCACGCCGAAGTGGTTTATGATGACGATGATGCTGACAGCCGATCATCAGAAACCAGAGTAAAAATACATTATGAGAACGCGGATAATTTATGTCCCAAAATACAGATGTGAGTCATCATCATCATCATCATCATCATAAACCACTTTTGCCGTTAAGCGCCGTGGGGAGGAATAATTTGCGATCCAGTGCACGTTGGCTGCCACTGGCTATTGTCATGCCGTGAAGGCGTAGAGTGTCTTTAATGTTGTCGATCCATGTTTTCCGCGGCCGTCCTCTTGCTCTTGTAGTTGATCTTCTGAGATGTAAAGCTTGTGATGGTATTTGATCTTGCTGCAATCTAACGAGATGACCAAACCACTTGATCTGGTGTTTCTCGATGAATCTAGTACAAGGTGTCGTTCCCACAATTTGCCTGATAGTTTCATTATTCACTCGATCTCGTATGGTTAGGTTGGCTGCTTTTCTCAGGCACCTCATCTCGCAGGTGGTGATTTTGCGTAAATGGGCTTTAGATAGTGTCCATGTTTGGCACTGGTAGCTTAATGTTGGAATGAATATGCTATTAATAATCTGTCTCTTTGCACTCATAGGTATGCTTGGATGTCTTAATAATGGTGACAATTGACAGATGTGAGTAAAATACCAAAATTGCATTCGACCCAGCCATCTTAAGTCAGTAGACATAATTGTCAGCTTTCCCTGGCATTTAATTGGGAATGAAAAACCATGAACACAAGAAATGGTCGTGTACCTAATAAATTTCATGACCTACTGTGCATGCTACGGCTGTGGAACATAGACAAGTAATAAAAAAGTCAACAACAAAATGACTTTACAATTAATCAATGAATTCTTAAAATTTCTTTGACAGCCAAAAAAAAGAACTAAGAGCTCGAAAACATCAGAAAGAGACAGTCGTCATTTTTGGCTCAATGTTATGAAAAGAAGGAAACCTGAACGTGTTGTGACCAACCACTAGAAAGATGTGTGGAAAAAAGAGACAGTGGAAGACAACGCGAATCCATTCTTGACAGCCCTTTATCGTGTCATGGAAGTAAGTCAAAACACGAACTGATACACGGTGTTGAAGACTGCACATCGTGGAAAGTGATGATCACTCACTTCAGTCGGCAAGGCACTTGATGATGATGATTGTGTTTTCAAGTTCACAGATAACACCCCTAAGGCATGAAAGACTTCAAACAAATCAGCGGTGATTTCATTGAATTACCAATATTACTGCAACCGAATTTGAGTTAATACCGGGCGCACAATAACTAAAAATATTGTCAACGTTTGATTAAACAACGGATCAACATTATGGCACACGAGTAGTAACCCATAAGTGCCCCGTTCTACTTCTAACTCTGAAGTCTCAGTCCGAAGAAGCGCAGCACAGTGTACAGACTCTGTAGCAACGGCGAGGATGCTGAAATACTTTGGGTAGATTTTTAACTCAAAATTTTGCCCGGGCAGCGCCGTTAGGTTATTCATTTCGATTTACAACTGCCAAGGGATGTTTTTACGTGAATAATAATGCACACGGGCGTCCGATTTCACTACCCAGAGACCAAGGGGAATTACTAGAAGTCCAAGTCCACGTGACAAAATCCCAACCCTCGCCATGCCTCGAGACGAATAGTTTCTACATAAAATGCTTTAATTGACAAAATAATGTCTGCAAACTAATTAAACTAAATCTACAAACACACAGTTCATTAACCTAGGGCTACAAATAACCGAAACAAATCATGCATACGTACTTTGATGCCAACAACTAAATTCCTTTCTGGCACATAAGTTCCATTTCTGAGTGCTTCTGCTTTTTCGGCTTCAGAAGGCCAGTCAAATTCCACAGTATCCCATTCATAAACCAGTTCAGCTTGTCCAAATCGCTGTGCCGTAGAATATACAAACAGAAGACAAAACGAAGTTGCAGACAGGCGGTTCATTGTGTATCTGTGATTACTGTCAATCGATTGAAAAAGCAACAGTGAGAAGAACTAATTTATACGAGTCTCTCGGCTGAGTCATTAGTACTTTGGCCATGTGATCGTGTCGTCTTTTCTTCTGTAGTAAAAATAACCCACCGATTTGGCACGAAGATCCGCCATAGGGTCACATTTGTAGGCGTATTCTAATATATTCTAAATTTTAAACTGATGAATTCCGGGATCTCGATCAACAAAACAAAAGGGAATTGCGTCTGCAATGTTTCAAATATTTACTTTAAAAGGCTCAATAAGGAATAAGTCTTTCTTCTTCCATTAAGCGAAAGTACCCAATACTTGTCCTGTTTTTAGCAAAAAATCGACTAATATTAAGTACCGCTTGCTGAAATGTGTTCCTATGGCGAGACTGTTGCATCCTCGGACTTTTCTCTGAAGGACACTTCTGATTTCGGATGGAGATGTCAGTTTAAAGATTCGATCTTTTCCTCGCTGACACAACAACCGGGATAATTGTTTTGCAGTCCATTTAACATCTTAACAAACACTGTCACATAAACAAATTAAGATGGTATTTTTTTTTTTTTTTTTCAATTTAAACCGGATGTCACACATTTTTCCGGCTAATATAACGTATGCGTTTAGAGGTTTGACATGCTTGGTTAGAGCGTTTTTTTTTTTTTTCCTGATAGACTGAATGCTGCAGTAACATAAATTAGATTTCTGTTTGAATTTTTTAAAATAACATGGCTTAGAAAGCCTTTTCTCATAAATAAGAAGTCGAAAACACGACCGGCAATCTGATAGCTCCATAACTCAATGATAAATATTTTTTTCTGTTTACATGATTAGGCTGAAATTTTGGCAGCATTCTTGGAATTTTCCGCGGCCCACCAGAGGACTACGGGCCATGGGTTGAAGAACGCTGATTTAGAAGACTGCGTCGACGCTGGAGCACCGTTTTTTTTTTTCTTGCTTCTTTCGATGCTCTCTGTGGGAGACCTTTCACTCTGAGGAAACAGACTTAGTAATCTGGTGCTCTAAGAAGCCTATAAAACATTACCAGAGACAGAGTTAGTAATCTGGTGATCCAAGGAGCCTATAAAACATTACCAGAGACAGACTTAGTAATCTGGTGATCTAAGGAGCCTATAAAAAGGTACCAGAGTCCAGATTTAGTAATCTGGTGATCTAAGAAGCCTATAAAACATTACCAGAGACAGAGTTAGTAATCTGGTGATCTAAGGAGCCTATAAAACATTACCAGAGACAGACTTAGTAATCTGGTGATCTAAGGAGCCTATAAAACATTACCAGAGACAGAGTTAGTAATCTGGTGATCTAATAAGCTTATAAAACATTACCAGAGACAGAGTTAGTAATCTGGTGATCTAAGAAGCCAATAAAACATCACCAGAGACAGAGTTAGTAATCTGGTGATCTAAGAAGCCTATAAAACATTACCAGAGACATAGTAATCTATTGATCTAAGAAGCCTATAAAACATTACCAGAGACAGAGTTAGTAATCTGGTGATCTAAGGAGCCTATAAAACATTACCAGAGACAGAGTTAGTAATCTGGTGATCTAAGGAGCCTATAAAACATTACCAGAGACAGACTTAGTAATCTGGTGATCTAAGGAGCCTATAAAACATTACCAGAGCCAAAGGTCGACCACTAAAAAAAATTGAACCCAGAAATATCAGAGACACTTAAAAGTACTATATAAGAAGCGAATGGAGGGTCCAGGTCCATATATCTTTTTTCCTGGACGCTTCCAGGAATGACGAAGAAGAATAGAAGAAAAAGAAGAAAGAAGAAGAGAAGAAGAAGAAGAAGAAGAAGAAGAAGAAGAGAAGAAGAAAGAAGAAGAAGAAGAAGAAGAAAAGAAAAGGAAGAAGAAGAAGAAGAAGAAGAAGAGAAGAAGATAGAGAAGAAGAAGAAGAGAAGAAGAAGAAGAAGAAGAAAAGAAGAGAAGAATAAGAGAAGAAGAAGAAGAAGAAGAAGAAAAGAAAGAAGAAGAACAAGAAGAAGAAGAAGAAGAAGAAGAAAGAAGAAGAAACGAAGAGAGAAGAAGAAGAAGAAGAAGAAGAAGAAGAAGAAGAAGAAGAAGAAGAGAAGAATAAGAAGAAGACAGAAGAAGAAGAAGAAGAAGAAGAAGAAGGGAAGAAGAAGAAGAAGAAGAAGAGAAAAGAAGAAGAAGAAGAAGAATAAGAAGACGAAGAAGAAGAAGAAAAGAAAGAAGAAGAAGAAGAAGAAGAAGAAGAAGAGAAGAAGAAGAAGAAGAAGAAGAAGAAGCAAGAAGAAGAAGAAGAAGAAGAAGAAGAAGAAGAAGAAGAAGTAAGAAGAAGAAGAAGAAGAAGAAGAAGAAGAAGAAGAAAAGAAGAAGAAGAAGAAGAAGAAGAAAGAAGAAGAAGAAAAGAAGAAGAAGAAGAAGAAGAAGAAGAAGAAGAAGAAGAAGAGAAAGAAGAAGAAGAAGAAGAAGAAGAAGAGAAGAAGAAGAAGAAGAAGAAGAGAAAGAAGAAGAAGAAGAAGAGAAGAAGAAGAAGAAGAAGAAGAAGAGAAGATAAAGAAGAAAGTGAAGAAGAAGAAGAAGAAGAAGAAGAAGAAGAAGAAGAAGAAGAAGAAGAAGAGAGAAGAAGAAGAAGAAGAAGAAGACGAAAGAAGAAGAAGAAGAAGAAGAAGAAGAAGAGAAGAAGAAGAAGAAGAAAGAAAGAAAAGAAGAAGAAGAAGAGGAGAAGAAGAAGAAGAAGAAGAAGAAGAAGAAGAAGAAGAAGAAGAAGAAGAAGAAGAAGAAGAAGAAGAAGAAGAAGAAGAAGAAGAAGAAGAAGAAGAAGAAGAAGAAGCCTAAAGACTTAGGTTCCATGCCTCTGTAAGGAAGTCAATGCTTTCACCGTTTAAAAGCAATTTAGTTTTCAAATGAAAATCCTTCATGCCTCTGGAAAAAAAAATTTTCAGCCAATAATTTGTACTGTCTTTGTGGCACTAGCTTTAAATTGTGAAACTAAACTGCAATCAACGTTGACGTTCATTATATACCAATGCCAGTCTTATTAAATGTCCCTCACCGTCTCATTTGAAAAAGTAGTGAATAATGAGTCCTGAAACAGTCCAGAAATATGCGCACGCAGTGAATACATAGGCAGTTGCGAGAGACGTGAACGCCAACAGTCGCTACCAGAAATGCAGTTTGTGGTTGATGGAAGTAGTCAGGCCACAATAAGTTGATTATACACACGTAGAATTATTATATAAGATATTTCACCAGCTCACACGTAAACCGGCTACCGGCCACATTTAATATACCACGACACAGCCGCTGCACAAATGAAAGGCATTCCATAGGAAAAGCACAGCTCACAAGGCTGCACCAAGCACTAAACTCAGTAGCTCAGGCAGCGAAAGCGTAGACTACCATCCACATTAGGAAACTGCATTAGCAAAGCGCAGTCAGAAGTAAAAGTAATTTCGAAGCTTAGCATTCTGCCATGCCTAATCCTTTATTTTAGACCGGAAGTCCTATTCAATAGCTTGTTACCGACCAGAACCATTGAGTTGTATATGAGGTGGACCAGCGGTTTTAAAGACTTGCATTTTTTTCTTTTTAGTTTGCATCCATCTTAATATTATAATTACTGCATGATTAGTTTTGCCAGTTGGTGATGATGGCAGTATCCCGTCAACTGCCTTGACTTCCTGTCAAACAAATACTTATGTTTTAGGCTGAGTTAACCTGTGAGCCAAGGTTTTGGAAGCCATGTTACCGACAAATTAGAATAGAAATCATGTCTAGACAACATCAGTTTCTTGCCAAGCAGCAAACATTATGGAGATCCAAAAACATTTCATGCAAAACTAAGATCTGATTGCTCAGAGCACTAGCTGTGAGTTAATTTACCTATGGCTGTGAAACGTGGGCCTTAACAGCTGAACCCAAAAGGAAACTCGATGTTTCAGAAAAATTCTTGGCATATCTAACAGAAATCACATTACAAAGAAAAGGTTCGTCATATAATTATACAGCACACTGGCAACTATGAACCTCATTTAACAACAGTGAAATGACGAAAAATGCAAAGGTATGGACTGCCAAGATATAACAGCCTCTCAAAAACATTACTGCAGGGCTCAGTGGAGGGAAAGAGGAGAAGATGCAGACCAAGAAAGAGCTTGTTACAGAACCTGATTGCCTGGACCAGCCTCAGGCATGCAGCCATGAACTCCATAGCAACTGACTGCCAAAGGTGGAGAGAGCTGATCAGTCAACAGAAACTGGGAACTCAACGACACGGGATGATGGTGATAATGGTGAATGGTGACACCGCTGGCCTGCAGAAACCTTGACGGCGAGAAGATCCTGGTATCAAGTTACAGACACAACTAATATTGGAATTGACTATTTACAAATGTATATTAGATCCGGAATCTCAGTGTGACAAATGTGAGTTGTCTTTTTTTAAGTTTGGAAATGTGTAATGCGTCAAAGAATCAAATTAGAATATGCAAATGCTAATTTCGTCTTCTTTTGTCGTCACACAGTTACCGGGTTGTAGCCTGGTGTAGGGCCGAATCTAGACATGCTAAATTCCCTAAGCTATATATAGCCCCGATGTCCTTCATCATCATCATCATCAGTTGCCTTGCCGACTGGTGTGGGCGATCATGCCTCTCCATAATCTGCGATCTATTGCAGCATGTATCAGTTCATATACCGATACACCTCCATGCCATTCAGCAGGACTTTCATGAATCTCCTCTCGTTGTCTTCCTATATCCCTGCTTCCACAGATCTTTCCAGTGGTCACAACATGTTCCATTTTCCCTCTTCTCAAAACATGGCCAAAAAATGATGACTGTCTCCTTCTGATGTCTGTGATAAGTTGTCTTCGGGCTCCCGCCTCTTTCAAAGCCTCTTGGTTGTCCTTACCACTGTAAATTAGACTAGTTAATGCAGAGATAGATATTGGGAAGAAGATATTATTAAATTTGAATTTTTGTTGT